ATTTGTTTGACAATTATTTGAGCCCATGTTGAAATTAATTGGATCAATTATTGGGGATAATCAAAATGTTGAGAAGGTTGTTGAACCGAGTGATGTTTTTAATATGAATATAGCAGAGTTTTTAGCCAATGATGAGTACATGTCCCTACCATTGGTAAGTCATTGGATTGAAGTGGACTATTTCAATAGTAGTTTAATTCCGAGACAATACTTGATCTGGATTGTGCAATACCTTTCAGGTATGAAAATCAAATATTTAAATAGTGAAATCAATGCTGCTGTTTGGGTATGTGATTTTTTGGAAAATACTATTGGATTACAAGTAACAAGCATGAAATTCGTGAATCAATTGTCCAAAGGAAAGAATTTTGAAAGGGAGGAGTTTATCCCAATTTTCTCAACAGAATTTACGTTTCAATTCTTGGCTATTTGGATTGGAAATTTGGACTTGGTAAAGTGGTGTCTGGAATATCGTTCTGATAATGGAAACAATAGAATAGATACTCTATTGAGAACAGGAATTTTTGAAGGAGAGCCATCCAGCTATAACATAGTATCTTCATACGGGGCTTGCTACAAGAGAGATGGAGCTGGACTAAACATTTTACATTACGCAATTAGAGGAAAGAATGTGGAGATTGTGAAATTATTGATCGAAAAGTACAAAGCCAATCCATTTCAATCTCAATTAATCTCTCCCGCACTTCTTGCATACAGAATGTACACTGCAGCACCCAAAGACGAGCCTTCCAACAAGATTTACAATCTATTGAAAGAAACCTACAAAGAACATCTGGAAAACCATGTCGAATCGAATAAGAATATATTCGATGAGGCGAACATGAAAATTTTTGATTTGGATGAAACAGAGGAAGACGATTTAGAAAAGTTACAAATTGATAAGGGTCCAAATGGAATCCCTCTCAACAAGAATGTGTTGTTAGAAAGAGATTACTATATTGATGAAGGGCTTTCAGATTCTGATGAAGAGTTAGAAGTTAGTGATGAAGATGAAGAGGAGGAATTTATTGATATCAAAACAATAAGATCTAAAATTCATAATGTTGACAGTGAAGATCCTTGGGTACAGTGTGTAGAAACTGAAAAAGAATTATCCAAAAACATTACTGATCTATTGAAGGATACAGAAATAGTACAAGCTAGACATGATTTCATAGATGTTTATCCTTCAGTTCGTATTGGAAAACGTATAGGACTAGAAGAAAACAACAAGAAGAGAGCATTCGAGGCTGGAGAAGGTAATGAATATGAACCTAAATTCAAGAAAAGAAAGGAAATGATAATTCCCAAAGCATTTTTTAATGGATTGACGAAAGTCATTTTAGGAAGTTATAGATTTGATACCATTATTAGCCCATCATCACAGGCAATTATGCAACAGGAAATAGAAAGACTTTGCATTGAATTATTCAATTTAACATCTGAAATTTGCAAATTTTTCATGACAGACTTGTGTTTGAAGAATTTTATATTGGTAGCTTTCAATGCATATAATGGATGTTTTAAGGAAAGTTCAATTGATGAAGAAGCTCTAAAGAATCATTTATCTTCCCTTTCAATGAAGGAGATTAGCTCTGAAAACATTACTAGTATAGTTACTGAAATTAATGAACAAAATCTCATGTTGTCAATTAATTACGACACTGATGAAGATGATCCTGACTTTGAAATTGAGTTTGATGATCCAAATGATAGAGTATTGTTTGGAATTCAATCGGAGAGCAATATAAATCAGACCAAAGAAGAAAGTCCAAAGGACGATGGGTATGAATCAGATTGGTCTGATGAAAGTGAAATTGGTATCGAAATTAGCGAAAATAACGATTTTATATTCTATCCCTCATCTATTGACCAGATAGAAAGTGAAAGGCCTCTCTCAGAAACTATTCTTGGTGATGAATATGCTATCAAGTATGAATCTATTCAGAAAGATGGAAAGTATGGTTTTAATATTTATTCTAAAGATACACATTTAGTCAAGAGATTAATAACTAACTCCCAAGTAGATACCCAATTATGAACTGTTCATGTTGTAGATTCTACCAACCTTTTTAGAGAATTGAAGTGTAGTCATAATATAGAATTCATGTAAATCAATAATTTTATTTCTTATATTTTATCTTTTTCGAATTGTGTGTGGAATTGTATGGTTTAGATGGTTGATCGAGAGATATCTTATTCATCAATCCAACCAGTTGATCCTCAGATTTCTTAGTATTGTAAAGATCCTTCAATTCCAAAGTTAAGTTTTTCAGCTCTTGTCGTTTGGATTCAATTTCATTTTGCAAACTTTTTATTTGATTCTTTTTAGCTTCGATTTCTTCATCCTTTTCCAAGTTTCTCTTGTTTCGAATAGGTT